GTCAACTAAAAAATTTTAGTCGATTCCTATCACTATATACATACCCAGGATGGGCAAGCATATGTTCCATTTTTTTCCTGTCAGCCATCTGTACGATAATTTCAGTTTCAATGATTAAGTTCATAGTCTGCAGAATTTGTAAATAGGAATCTACGCTCAAAGTTTGTAGAAAAAAATCGAAAGTTTTATTTTTACTTGGTCAAGAACTAGCATAAACGAAAATTACAAAATATCACGAAACTATTATTTCTGTGAAAAGCCAAAATTTTAAAATTTTAGTACGACTTTCAGTTTTTTGTGAATACAGGAATAGGGATGTAAACTTAAATTTAAATGCTAAAATAATTTTATTTTTCGTATATAAGGCCGTATAAAGTTGATTTTTTAGTTCTCATAACATAAACCAAAAAAAAATGACCCGGACTCACCTAGTATCGCCACCAAGATCATGTACGTAATCGGGTTTTAAATTTATTTTCCGACATTATTGATACAATAATGACGACATTTGATAAATAATATTAATACACGTAATAATAAGAAGAAATAAATTAAACACAATAAAAATATAATATATTAAATATATTTAAAAAAAAAAATTAAATTAAGTTAAATTTAAAAATAAAGGAATATAAATTAAACATGACTAAAAAAATAATAATAAATTATACGATTTTTTACTCCCGTGATCCTCCCGTGATCTCGTGACATCTCGACCGACTGATACTGTTAAATTAAATTTTTTTTTAAACTTTGAGCGAAGGTATCTTGATAACCACCGAACCAAATTCGGTGGACCTTTTTTTATTTGAATTCCAAGATCCATAAAATTCAAATAAAAAAAGCTCATCAAAAACTTGACATGGTCAAAGTTTTAAAAATCTTAACGTCCATCAAAATAATTAACCAACAAAATTGGACCATCAGATTCTCGATTTTGATTGGCTGTACTATGTAAAAAAACATGTGACGATCCTTGATATTTTTTTATATCTTCTAGCGTTGGTTTCTCGACAGCTATCTGATTAATATTAATATTTAAATAAAAAAATTTTTGACCTGGTAGTTATCGAGAAAACTTCATTAAAAAAAGCGTTGAAAATCAAAAATGGCTACGATTATGATTTTTTCGATAATTACTGGGTCAAATTCAGTGAAATTTTTTTTTATTTTAATTCTATAGATTTGTAGAATCAGAATTAAAAAATTTTCACCGAATTTATGAAGTAATTATCGAGAAATATTTATCTAAAGTTTAATAATTAAAGTTGTAATTCTACAAATATTTAGAATTAAAATAAAAAAATTTTTCATTGAATTTGATCAGGTAGTTGTCGTTCAAAGTTTAAATATCTCTTGTAAAAGAAAAACTGTACTTTTTTAAAAAAACTTGTAATTATTTCTCAATAACTACTCAATCAAATTCGATGAAAATTTTTTTATTTTAATTCTACAAATATATAGAATTAAAATAAAAAAAATTTTCATTAAATTTGACCTAGTAGTTATCGAGATATTTTCATTTAAACACTAAAAAAATCATAATCGTAGCAAATTTTCTCAAGATTTAATACGGTACCACCGGGAAGACATTCATGTGATTAGCTAATTTATGAAAATCAAACGTGATCATCAAAGCGAATAACTTATTAGCGTTACAGCTACCCTTCATTCTTTATTTTATTATATAGTATTTTAATAATTCTATCTTATTTAACAATTAAACATCGCACCATTTGATTTTTTAACAACTAAGTTGAAGAACTATTTCTAGTCATCGTGACCTTTATTAGAGATACAACATGATTCTAGCCCCCATATAATTAATGAATACATATTATCGACCTAATACTTAATCTAATCTAATGGTTTAACTCTATAATATTCAGAATATGTAAAATATAAGCATTAGTAAAATCTAGTACGTCAAACAGAGAACTCACATATTGTTATATAAATTTGTACTATAGAACAAAATATAATAGAAATGTTTACTTCTAAGTGAAGTTCTTGGGGTGTAAATTATTTTGGATTAATTTCAACAGTGAATATTTACGCTCATTTAGAACTAGAAATGGCTTTCTTTGTTAGTAAAACTTTAAAATGTATAATAAATAAGTTACCCGGGTAATTGATTTATACCAGTCAATCAGACGAAAATTTATCTATGAAACCCGCGGGTAGTGTTGTTGTAACCTACAAAATTATATTAAAAAAATAAATTATGTAAACTTACCTAAGAATTGAAAGCAAAAAGTTATCTTAATAAAATTTTGAATTATTGTCTTTTTTAAAAAACTTCTGCCCGTGGTAACTCGGGTAGTACCCATCCGGGTCCAATCACTATACTAACCTTTAACTTAAACCTCAACTTTGAAATATAATCCACCTTTAAACCACGGTATGTTAGGAATAGGCGGTTTGTTTACTCTACGTTTTTCAGAAATACGGTATAGATATATGTTCTTTCGTTTTATATTGCTATTATATTACAAAAAGAACTATGTTATGATTCTTATTCTTCTTATTATTTTAAGGAGGTATCCAATAACCTGAGAATTACTAATCTCATGAGAATCTAAAAGATCTTAAAAATTTGTAGCGACTTTTAAAACACCGTATAAATGACTAATAGTTATACAAAAATATAAAACGCGAAAAACGATGCAACGAAATAGGCAACAACTCTAATGACAGTAATAATAAATCAGCAACCAATTAATTGTAGACGATATAGGCTGTCGCCAACAAAGCCATTAATAACATGACAACAGAAATAATGATGATTTTAGCAGTTTAAAAGATTTTATTATTTCGATATGTAGTCTAGCAAATATACATATTTACTATAATGAGATATTATATGAAAAAAATTAAGAACCACACAAGAGACGACGGGTATGTACTAGTTAAGATATTAAAATTGAACTAAAATTGACCAGTTGATCCATAACCTTTAATTCCTCTATCAGTCGATCCCAAATCCTGAAATTAAAATTAAAGTTTTTATTTAAAAAAAAACACTTCTTATACGACTATACGACATGAACGATGCTTCAATAAATACTTACATCAGTTTCAACTACTTCTGGAGTATATATCCTTTCGAGAATTAATTGAGCAATACGTTCACCTTCTTTAACTATATAATATTGATTTTAATCATTAAAAATTTCATTTAATCTAAGAAACCTATAAATACTATTTCATACCTGTATAATCTTTATCATTGAAATTGAACAAGAGAACGCCAACCGGCCCTCGATAGTCAGCGTCAATAACTCCGGCACCACAGTCAAGGAAATGTTTCAGTGCTATAAAGTTCACGTGATGTTAGACACGACTTACGTAACGCAGAAATAATAATTTTTGTAAAAAAAAAAAAAAGAAAAAAAAACCTAAGCTGCTTCTTGGCGCGACGCGACCATATGTTCCTTCGGGAAGTGCAATTGATATGTCGGTAGGAACCAAAACTTTTCCTTTAGCTGGAACAACCATTTCTACAGCACTTTACACAATAAAGTAGAGATGATAATATGTTGGTCACGTATTTACATACTTCTATATTAACACCATGTAACGAAATAATAATTTTTATGTATAACAATATATACCTATACAAATCATAGCCAGCAGCCAGTGGAGAAGCACGTACGGGTAGTTTAGCTTTTTCACTAAGACGTTTAACGAGCAATTTCGGAGAGTCCGCTTGTGGTGTAGTTGAAACAGTCGAAACACTTAGTTTCCGTTTTTTTGATTCTAGAATTGCTGGATTTTCTGATACTTCTAATACTTCAGTGTTTGGCATTTTTTTTTTTTTTAATATGAGCTAAATTTTAGACGAGAAAAGTTTTTTTGTTTTTTTTTCAGATGAATAAAATCACTTTGTATTTTTTTTCAGGTGAATAAAATCACTTTGTATTTATATCATATAATGATATGAGTGTTATCATTCTCTTTATGTTAGTCAATCCCACGTTAACCCACGCTAATTATGTAAAATTTCCACGTTAAAATTTTGACTGATTAATTATCCGTTGCACACATCTGTTATCTCTATGGCGTAATATTCCTCCCACACAGTAAATCACTATATTTGGATTTTTTTCTTTTGTTCCTGAAAGTCCCAAACCCTTTAAAGAGTAGGTACTTGTTGATCTACTTGTTGTAACGTATTTAGAAGTTGTATGAACTAACTTTATTGGTTATCATTCATCTATGATATTGATACGATTCTTTGATTTTTTTTCATATGATCAAACTTTAGATACATAACGGAAAAACCATCCAACGTTAATTATTAATCTTAATATTTAAAAAATCAGAAGCTATTGCTGCATGTAGTTAAAGATTAGAATCGGGTTAAACATAGGTTAATTTTTTAGCGACTAAACTGATTCCAATCACTATCTCATTATTTTTTTTACCTTTCAAAAAAGGTAACAATAACATATTTAATCCGACAATCACTATCGTGTACGTTTTCAAAAAAGGTAACAATAACATATTTAATCCGACAATCTGGATCCTTCAATCCAGATTAAGATCTGCAGATATCCAGATCAGTAGACATGTGAACCGTTACCCAATGGATAAAGTGGATATCGGACTTTCTTTTAAATGAATCTTTATTTAATAGTTAATGCACAGCATTACATGACCGGAGCTTAATGTTTTTATTACACTAAAATGCAAATTAAAAAGTGGATCAAAAACGCAACTAATTCATGTGTGCGGACAGGCACCAAGTTATAAAATTACATTATTTATTAGGTACTATTTTGGACAATAATACCTTATCGAATTTGTATTTCACAAACACAAATCTAACCTATTCATTGTCATTTTTTCATTCCACTATTAAGGGAGAAAATATTTTAAGCGAGTCAATTGTGTTTATCAATAAAGATTGTTACGTAATTCAAATTATTTTTATTAGTAAAAAAAATTAAATGAATCTGTTATTTCAATTTACACATCCATTTTACAAAAGACCATCTTTTTTTTTATCTCTGGTTTGGGCCATTAATCGAGTATTCAAAGAGATCGTTCAAATAACTTAGTTATGGATCCTCATTCTCGACTTCAAAGAATTAATATTTTATCCCTTATTCTAAAAGGTTTTCATGGAAAATAGAAAACATGAAGAAGCCCGCCATCTCTCTTGGCCTTCTTTATATTCGGCAGTGGGTTTATTTAGAGCAAACGGATTCATAAAAAATGGAGGGGCGGCTAAAATAACAGTAAAATCGGTAAATGGAACAGTAGGAACAGCCTTTATTTTTTGGTTTATTAATTTTGACGATGACATTTGATAAAACTAGTTAATCACATCAAAGACA